TTAGGCTTTCAGTAAGAGGTAAGAAGTCATTTTTGCCCTATATGAAAATAACCTTGACCTCTTTTGCTTTAAAATTCAAATCCGTTTTTCCTAACCTATTTTACAAAGCAATTGTTTTAGACTTCCTATCTTGTCCCCTGTGTGCCTATATTTGAACAATTTTGCTTTGTTTAAAAGCATTGGGGTTGAGAGCCTACAAGAATTGTGGGGCCCAAAAATAAGGGGAAAATACACTTTATCCTCCTGTGATTTACGGATTTTTCACATAATTTTTTATAGTTTTAAAAATTATATATAACCTCTCATAATTTGAATTAAAGTGTCGAAGTGACGGAAATAATCATTTATAACGAAACTCATAAAAATATTGAAATTACCCTTGTTTAAAAATTATAATGGCTGAAGTGACTAAAATATATAAATATAATGTGTATGAAACTCTAATCCTGCATAGTTTTATATTTTATCATATAACATCTTTATGGTTTAGTGTTTTATATAACCCCCGGTGATTAATAGATAATTTTTAACTTTAAATAGAGACACTTTGATATTTTAGTTGACTCCATTATTGAATGTAAATTTCGTTATTTTGGCACTTTAATTCAAATTATGAGGGGATTATGTATAATTTTTAAAAATTTAGAGAGGTTATCTTACAAAGTGCTAAATCACAGGGGGCTAAAGTGTATTTTACCCAAAAAATAAAGGGCACATGTGATGAGTTAGATATCTGAGCGTAACTTGTGGAGATGATTCTTTATTAGCGCATACAAGACATTCTGACTTGACCTAGGGCAAAATTATAGAAAATGGAGAAAATATGAGAAATGGAGGTGACACTTTGACGCAATTGGAATTTGGAGCAGCAAATTGATTTTGTAGTGGCAGGTTGTCGTTTGAGTTTACCCTTTTTTTTTTTTTTTTGACAAAACCTAGACAGGATAAAAGGAAGTCAAGTATTCCAATATCATTCACTCTTTGATAACTTTAAAAACGAAAAACAAAAAAGATTCAGAACTATTTGAAAATAAGTAAATAACATTATCCTAGAAAAGAGTCAAGAAAATGAAAAGGCAAGCTTTGCAGTGCTGATCATCTTGATTGTTTACAAAGAACTGAAAATTCACCTGTTGCCTTATATATATATGTAACATTAACATTCTTAATTTGACATTTTGGATAAAGGAGGTGATACCATGTAAATTACTTCCACAAGAACATGCCAAGAAGAAAAGTCCAAAAAATTCTGAGTTAAATTTGAAGAAAAAAAAATATTATTAGGGTATTCAACACATATTATGGTAAAAGGTACTCCACATCCTAAAATTAGCTTAGTTAACTCAGAAGTCACTCAATTTACTTAGTCTTCCAGTGTTCAGGTCCTTCTCTTTTCTAAGGCTTAAAGTCCCTCCTATGCCCCAAAGAAAAAATGATAATGAACTGATGGAATAATGGCAAAGGCTATTAAATGTACGTTATTACTAAGTTTTTTGGGATCAACGAGGGTTCCTAGGCAGATAAAAAAAAAAGTTTCTATAGAAATTTTTAACGTGGGAAAAATTTAACAAATGAAACTTAAAAATGTTTATAATTAGGAGGACATGTAGGGATTCCACCAGAAGCTGTGGTTTTACCTTGAGATGTTACAAAAGGAATAGAAAGACAAAAGTAACTCTCGGCCACTCCATATTTTTCCTCTGCAATCACAGTTTTAGGGAAAGAATTGCTGGAGGCTGTTGGCATTTGACACCTCCGCTGCTGCTGTCGAGTTGCAGGTCGGCATGTATGATTTAGGGTTAATTTCACTTTGTACTCTTCAATAACACTTAAATTTTCATTTTAATTTTTAAAATTTTAAACGAGACACTTTGATTCTTAAAATATGAAATCTATCTATCTCATTTGAGTAAAATCTATCTCACTTAAGTAGCCTCAAGGTCATGGACAATGGTATCACGAGATATACTGCTCTCCTCTATCTTTGCAGGAAGATTGCTCTTCGTGACTTTGCATGCTATATTCATCTGTCGATTGATTTTTAATGAGACGTTTGTTTGCACGGCTGTAGTACAAACTTTTCACACAAGGGCAAAAATCATAAATGAGATGATGTGAAATCAAGTTTGGAAGTGAAATACGAAAATAATTGAGTTACTCTTCTTTTCTTGTTACTTTTTGGCTCCTCATAAAATTCCAAAAAAAAAAAAAAAATATTACATGCTGTGTTTGCTTGTTGTCTAGGAAAACATGGAAGCAAGAAAGAAGCACAAAAAATTTTCAGTTTTTTCTTGATATAGCATGGTTTGACATCCTGATCGTAGTAAGTATGGTAATCAATTATTGAAATAATTTCGGACTTTACAAAATTATTTAAAGCCAAATAAGTGTTATTTCGGGTTATCAATTCTAATTAAAAAGGACACCATAATCACTATGGATTTTGTTGAGTTATTTTTTTATCAAATGAATGAAAGATATTTTAGGCATTGCAAAAAGAAAAAAAGAAACACGATTATTATACGTACAGCTGTGTCATTTACTCATATCAAGAAGACCAACAATGATACCAAGGAATCCCATCTTAGCTGCATTTGTTAACACTGTATAATCTGTCTATCTATTGTTATTATTATTATTACCTATAAAAGTATGATTAATCTTGGTGTGTAAGAGTGCAAGCAAAAGTTGATCTTAATTTTTGTGATACCAAAATTGCCCTCAACACGAATAAATAGACAAATTGTATTGCATTTCCTTAATAATTAATAAGAATTATGCTAAGTCTTGCTTTCCTAAATATTAGTTTTTGCGATATCAAAATTACACTCCTCACCAATAAATGGACAAATTGCATTGCACTCCATTAATAAATAATATCAAACATGATAGCAGATACAAAAAAAAAAAAAAAAAAAAAAAAAAAAAAAAGATTTTTACTTTTTTATTTACCAAAAGAAAGAAGAACAAATTTTATTTACAAAATACCCAAGTCTAAAGAGCACTTCAAATATGAAACAAAATACAATAAATTGGTATTATCAGTCAGTTAAAAGTACCATGCGTCTTTTTGTTTTTTGGATACAAGTAAATTAAGTCTTTAGCTCACCTTTTCAGTATACATATGTCAGTATTGATTAAGAAACTTTAATACAAAATATAATAGGAGATGCAGTACAAGGGTAGGTAAAGAGTTTAATATTGAAAATTTATTTTTTTAAATTGCAACAAAAATTAAATTTTAATGAATTTTATTAACGGTATTCTTGTCAGAACTGACAGCATTAAATTAGAATTAATGAACGTTATATACATCAATGCCAATTATAATAATAGTTATAAAGGTGAAACATGTGAAACATCCCTTTGAGTTATGGTGAATTAAGCAATATATATAAATACACGCGCACGCGCGCGCACACACACACACATATATATATATATACATATATATTTCTAATAAAGTATCCAATTTCAAAGAGTACTTCAAATGTGAATAAAAATATATCCAAGTTCAATATGATTATTATTAAATAAATAATCTTAATGGCTTACAATCATTAATCAGATAAACTCGACAATCATAAAGAAATACAAATAAGTCCCATAACATCAAAATAGTTTCCTTCAAAATTAAGCTATTTAAATTCAACAATGGAATTTCAACATATTTAATACTATTATAATTACAATAGCACTATAGATCATTTACAATCCACCATTAGCAATAGTAATAATACTTAGAAAAGCTCACTAAAACTAAGAAAAAAAATTCATAGAATGACTTAAAGGGGAACAAAAAATTATTCAAAAAATTAAAAATCTTAACTCAAAAGACATAAAAGAGAGCATTCAAGTTATCCAAATTTAACAAAAAGATTAAAAAAATAATAATACTACAACAAAATAAATGTGTTCTTAGAACAAAGAATGCTTTATTGTTTACACATTTTTGTTGGTTATGTCAAACCAAGTTCAGAAAAAATATAAAATAATATAAATATTAAATATCACATTCTTTTTGTCTTAATTACCTTTAGGTATAATTTCAGAAACCTTCATTGAGGGTTTTGACAATTTCACCTAGTTCTCTTGAGCTTTCAAAAATTACACATATCCCTTGACTTTATCATTTTGGTAACAAAAACCATTCAATGGTCAAAATTTTGAATGAATAATCGAAAATGCCCACATGAAATTGTGAAATTCATTTTACCTTCTTATAAAATTTTTAAAAAAAAATGGAGCATGCATAAGATCTCAATCCTATTTTCAACCATCATCTCTACTATGTTAAACCTTTCATATTCTCACATCTCAAATTAGTACCATTAGCACCATGATCATCACCACCATGAGTCCCTAAATTCTAAAACCTCAATCTAACTTAAAAAAGAAAAAAATTGATATTATTAAACTCAAAAAATTTCCCCAACTGCGTTATAACATCTTATCCCTCAAATGTTGGAATATTAATACTAGCCCCATCCTTTTTAAATCTTCAACTTACATCTTCTTCTATTCATCTCTAGATCTTTCAAACAAAGCTAAAATTAATTTATAATATGTTAAAATTATGTTTAGGATATAATTGGTTATTTCATGGGTGAATCTTGTCTTCGTTTCCATTAAATGTCTAATTGTGTGATGCATTCATATACACAAGATTAGGAGCGGGTTGTTTAACTGCATGATAACTATTAATATGTTAAGGTTATTATGGTCATTATATAGGGTCAAGGGAGGTCAATGTAATATTGAAAATCTCAAGGGTACTAGGTGAAATTATTAGAAACCTCGAGGGAAGTTTCTGAAATTATCCCTTATATTTATTCCTTCAATACAATTAATTTTCTAAAAATTTGAAGGCAAAAAAAAATTTTAAAAGCATCATGTTCACGTGCAAAACATGTAATCTATTACTAGTACATAAGAGAACTCGGCAAAGACAATTAAAATATCAATACTAAATATTAGGTAGTATTTGATGTGGCAAACAATCAAAAGCAATCCATAGGTATGATTTATTGATAGCTCCAGGAATCCTCAGAATCACAGGAATCCGAAGAATTCCAGTACAAGCTGGAGACAAAACAAATGGATGTTTCCAACAAAATCTATTCAAAACATCACACTGAAGGATTATTTGGAAAACAACTTCAAAGCAATCCAATGCGAGTGAAATACAGAATGTCACGATAAGCAGCAGAATGGAGAGATGCTGGTACTAATTCAGGTATCAAAACTCGAGTTTCTTTTTGCGTTTATCGAACATGCCATGTCCGTAAGTGCGACTGATCATCTCAACCAGAAGAGGGAATTGCAGCAATGAGTAAAGGGCTATTGGAATAACACAGAAAACAATGATTGGGTAGGAAATCCAAGCTACTTGTTCGATCAGCGTCAGATATATAGCAGTACCAAATGATGCCATCATGAAGACTATCGAGACGAACAAAAATGTGATTCCAAATATTAACTTTGTAGGTAAGGACTTGAGAAATTCTTTTTCTGCATAACGTGCAGTAAGAATCCCCAAGAACATCAGAATCGATGTTGTAGAAGTGAACATTGACACTGCATTTGATGCCATAAGAAACAAGAATGCTTTTTGTTGAGTACCTATCATGACAGGGAGCCCTGTTTTACCATCATTACCACCTGGAACTGTGAAAGCCGTTGTAAACATGGCTGCAGCGATGAGAGTTCCCACAATCATACTTGATCCTGCAATATTTTTCATCCATTTCTCTCCCTCCTTAGCCAATGCCTTGTGCTCGTCAGAGAAGAGGGCAGAAGGTGTTTTATCACTAGAATTCAATTCTTTCTTCATCCTTGGTGCTAGAATACTCTCAACTTCCTAAAAAATAACTTATGTCAGGTACAAAGCCTCACTAGGACAACACCATTAGAAAAAGAATTATTGCAGTTTTTGAGTCTCTATTTCATAAGACGGAAATTAAAAAACAAAAACGAAATGACAACAAACTTGATACACTAAGCTAAAATAGGTTACTGACAATGAATTGAATTGCGACCTGAAACCATTGTAGTTCCATTTGCATTTGAAGAGCTGCTCCAGAAACCCTGTCAAGTTGAGATGGTGGAGACAGCCTGGCTGCTAAATGTAAGAAATTGTTTCCGAAAGAGTCTTGCCTGCGGGCTAGAATGCTCGTTCGCTCTCCCAAGGCATATATAAGGCTATAAATTGTCTCTTGGCAAAGCAAAATTGCATGTGAAAATACTGTTCTGCCTGTTTTGTCTCTGCTATAGATGAGTGCAGGAAACCATATTAAAATTTCCTCAACAAACTCAACGATTCCATGCTGAATGGCGTCGTATAAAATTTTATCAATCTGCATCCTTTCAAGTTCTATGTTGCTCATTGTCCGGAGTTCCTTAACAATGCAGACTAGGATTTCAAGGGCATCTCTATGAATCCTTTTCTTTTCATGTATTTGCTTCATTCCTGGGACAGAGATCAAAAGAAGACATTATGAAAAAGTAACATCGTTTCGCTGAGTAAAAAATGTTAGTTAATGAAACGGACCGAGGCATCCTACTATGCTCCAATTAAGTCCATGCAAAATCTTCAGCACTGCAAGGGAAAAAAATTATATGCGTAGGATGAACAAAATGGGACATAAACCAATTACTGATATAGATGCTTCAAACGTGAGATCAAAAGGAATAGCATAGAACTGTAGCAGTGTATTATTTGCACTGTTGAATAAGGACATCTAAAACAGTGGTATATTAGAGTAAAGAGCCTCTTAGTTACTAAACAGACATCAGACTAGTACTATAAGTCAGTAGGCATCTCAGCCGAGTCCGATACGACTCGGCCGAGTCATAACTGGAACGGAGGGGACCGGTATAATACTGATTCCCGAATCGTGAATAATTCCATATTCGTGACAACTCGGAGTCAATTCGGATATTTTTCAGATTGTGCCTTTTATAGTATTTTTTTATTTTTAGTAATTTTTTGAGATTTTTTGAAAATTTTTATATGCTATAACGTGTGCATCACTTGATATTCGACCGATATGCCGTGACAGATGTGCAACAAGTGAACCATGGGGTTTAAAAAACTTGCATGCCTGCGTAGTGAATGCAAGCTAAGCAGAGCAGAAAAAAGTGGGGTTTAAACATATTATCACTTGATACTTAAACCGAAAAAAAGAAACAGAATTTGACGGTCAGACATGTGAATTAGATGATATGAATAATATCTATTGGATTGAACAAAGGATGAGAATCTCAAAACAAGATCGTAAGGATAGTAAACAAACTAGATATGGTGATATAAGCTGCCAAAAATGGAAGAGACATCCAGAGGCATCCACTTTTTTGTTGAAGCTGAGGTAACTAAGATAAATGAGAAGGCACCTACCTCATGTTCCGATATATGGATTAGCCTACATATCTGAATTTAGGTATCTGCAGATGGGAGATGATTTTAAGCAGTTGTCGCTACAATCACTTGAGGGAGCCAGAGGTGTTGAAAATTCTAGGTAGATTCTGTTCCTAAGAGTTCTTGTGTTAGCCACAGTTAGGCAGAGTCCAAAGAAGCCAGGAATAGGAGATACTCGGGCAGATGTTTGGGAGGACGACGAAATGGCTAGGATAAAAGAAAGGTATGTAAATCATTTCTTCTAATCAATAGGAAAAGAAAAGGAGAAAAAAAAAAGAAGAAAAAGAAATTAACTCCATCTTGAAAGTACCTTGGGAAGTTCCTTTAATGTGTATCCATTTAGATAGGTATCAGTTTGTCAGTTAATAAACCTTTTCAGGTATGAGAAGAAGAGGGCCAAAATTCTCGAGTTGGAGGAGAAGAAGGAGAAGAAGGCAAAACGTCGATTAGAAAGAACAGAGGTTCTAATTTCAGTCCAACATCTATTTTGCCAGAAAACAAGTAACACTGATGAAATGGATCTAAGCTATGAGCTAACATGTTTCAGGCTGAATTGGACAAAAGAAGAGCGAGAGCAATGCACCACTACCGTAGTGAACTTGAGAGAATTGAAAGCATTGCCAGAGGAGCAAGGTCACGGGCTACAGAAAATCAAAGATATGTTTTGCCAAACTTGGTAAGACCTGAAGATGAACATTACCATCCCTATACATGTTTTGCCTTGTTGTTTACATCTCTTGTTGCACTATCTACATATTCAGTATTTTTTTTCGGCTGCATTGGGATCCCTATGTAGGTGATCTTCTCAGAAGCTATCTTTACACTTAGGAGTCCAACTTGCGTCAGGAGGAGCAAAGGTTGGTGACCTAACCAATCCATTCTTGTCTAACAGAACATAGGCTTGAGTTTCAATCCCCTAAGAAAACCTGATGTTGGGGTCCTTTGCATACTAACAAGATTTGACTATCTTGCCTTTAAGATTAGCAGTAGTGAATGATTTGGAAAGCTGTATGCAAGTCAGGAGGTCAATTGACCCCCTCTTTCATGGTGGAGTAGTCGTGAATTATTCTTGGAGCTAGATAGGTTAAGATTCTTCAGCATATGCCAATGCAGCAATGCTAGCTAGATTACGTTCTTAAGAACTCTTGTGATAGACACTGTTAGCAAGCTATATTCAACCCCTTGATATTACCTGATGACAAATGCCCCACTACCTGGTGACCAATGGTTCAAGCGCCATTTCATTTTAGTTACTTCAAATGGAAGCAGCTCAGTTTATTATTTTACCATTTATAGTTAATGCACACATGAATTGAAAAGTTCCTCATTACTCATCGTTGAAAGGAAACAATGTTCTATCTTTACTACAAAAAGTTCCAAAATGTGGGGCTGAATCCTCTTAATTTTTGAACTTTCCTCTGGTTTCCCCCAATCCTAGATAGTCCACCACATATCAGATTATTTACCTATTAAAATACAATGCATTACACTTTGTCATCAAGCTACTGCTAAAAAATTGAGAGAAAAAGTTAGGAGAGATCCCACCACAAAAAATTAGAAGTCTTTAATGTGCAACAGAAGGAATTTTGGAAAAGAAACTTGGTATTTTACATACCAGAGCTAGTAAGGCCTTGATTCCCTGTCTTAGTCATCTCATCATCACTAGGATCATGAATGTCAATGTTGTGGCCTTCAGTCATGCTTGCTCTTTGAGTTTTTGTTACCTCATCTTCATGAGAATCTGTTGGACTCCCCGATGGAGAATGTACCATTACACCTGGGGCATAAATAGATGGTATGAGTAGCATTCCCTAACACTAGTACACATTTACTGATCACGGCTATTTAATATTCTTGTTGGTGGAAGATTTTATCTTGCCCGACAACTTGGACTGAAAAAAACAATCCACATTGCATACTGACATGATAACTGAAACATCATAAAAATCCACAAAATGTAGAATGGCCATTGCTCTTAGACTGTTTGGCTTATTATTGAATTGGAGAGTAGAATATTTTGCTTCATTACATACAAGTCAGTTATCAAAGTAAAGTAGAACTGGAAAAAGGACACTCACATGAATAGATCCAATTTTTCCAGAAAGAAAGTTTGGTTCCACTAGGAAATGCAGATGGCTTGTGAGCCAGTAACCTGAGAGTGTAGTCACCATTATGATCAGGGGTGACGCCAAGTTTTGGATACTGTCGAAGCAGCATTGAAGCAACATCTGTAACAATTAAAAAGCAGGAGTTAGAGGCACATATAATGAAGAAGTGTGTGTTGCAGATTGGTATGTTGCCTGTTATATCTATAATCTAACCATATACTTCTGCTGTAATTAGCGAATTAAGCAATGTAGCTCCATTTTCACCCCTATCTGGACTTAGATGCTCCTTTGGTGTTACGCTGTATAGATAATTAACCATATGCTTTTGATCAAACAAAGCAGCCACAATGACAGGAAGCTGCCCATTGTCAAGGTCATTTTTCATAACAAGCAGCCTATTATTTTTTTCCACAATTGTCCTTGCCAGCTTTGTTACACCACTGATTGCAGCAAGAGTAAGAGCTGTGGATCCATATTCATTAACAACTTCCAAGTCTTCTGGTGCCATTCTCTGCAATAACTCCTTTGCAATCTTCATGCGTCCATGCTGAATAGCAATGTGAAGTGCAGTTTCTTTATGTGATGAAACTATTGCCCTAACAGCGAGTGGATCTTGATCAAGTAGATGTTTTGTGCGACGAAAATAACCTATCGCGATTGCTTTGTACAATTGCTCATAATGAAGGTGCTCTTTCGGTCCTGTAAACATTAGAATTTGTTTCATTTAATATCTCGAACATGGTCACATATAATAATGAGCTCATACAAGGCACACGTGAAATTTTGATGAGGAGCATAAAAAATTGAGGAAGTAAAGAACAAAATCAGAAAATCTTTGAAATAATTTTTGGTATGAAGGTGACATTTTACTAATCTATTAGTGGAATATGTACTCTTTAGGAGCAAGTTTATGACTATCATAGGCTGGAGAATAATTTTCCCTCTTTGGTTCAGAGTAGGCACTGCAACAATATTGTTATTGGATATTGAGCAATGATTAAATGACACAGTCCATGCTATGGAGGATATGCTGCAGGGCCTCTTTTGGCAATTTAGCTAGGACTCCCAACCCCCAAGTCTCCATAATTATTTGGTGCAACAGAGCTTGAATAGATGAATTGGGGCTCTATTTGAAGTAATGTACACAAAAATCCCTGGTCAGGAATTGGTTACTCAAAGAGCAAAAGAAAAAAAAAGGAATGGACCAAGAGCAAAAACAGACAAAAATCTGAAATTGCTAAATAATATTTTCTGCTCCTAACACCCCATTACTCAAGTTACTTATCAAATGACCACATAAAGTACTTAAATTTTTCCAAGAGAGAAAACCTCATCAGTTAACTTCTAAATTATATGTCAAAAATAGACATTTTATCAGCAACATGACAGAGAGTTACCTTCATTATCAACTTCAAGATTGTCGGGCTTTAGTTTTTCATCCAACTGCTTCCATGCAACTTGGGCAAAATTGTGAGTTTTTAATTTAACATATGTGCGTGGTCCGCATGAAAGTTGGATGGCATGTAAGGCCAATGCATTCTTCTTCTGCCATTCCTCGTGTTCCTGTTTCTTATCTTCTCCGTAATCTTGACTCTCATCTTTTATAGGATCCTGCTCCTTACCAGAAACAACACCCCAAAGGCCATGCCCGACCAAATAATGTTTCAAGCATCCTTTCCATGCGTCATAGTTCTCCTCAGTGAGATCCTCGGGAACAATTCCAATTGCACCTCTACTAATCCCATCAGCTCCTGCCAATATCCAAAACATAAAAAAGAGGATGCACAATTCAACTTAAACATTATTACTGAAAGTTACAAAAGAACATGGAGAATAAATAAGTTCATCCACATTAGTCAAAAGGCAGCAAGAACGTTTATCCCTGTAGCTTCAAGTCCGTCAAATTACAGAACAATGTAGGTTATTTAGAGGCTTTATTACAAGGGCTAAAAAATATGATCTTTCAAGGGAAACAAGTTTCCATGCACAATGTTGTGTCATTTTACAATAGATGTATGATTAGGTTTTTTCATCCAATTGATGAGTCAAAGATTGAGAAAAATATTAGCTAAGTTGAATGTAGATGTCCAATATATTAATCAGTGTTGCACCATTCAAAATGCCTAATTCTTTATCAGAGAAAGAAAACACTCCAAAAAAAGGTCTACTATAAATTTACCAATCTTGGAAAGAAGGGTATGATTCTGTGTTGGAAGTTAGAACAATAATCACTAAACACAAAAAAGCAGCTTAGAAAATAAAAAAGTAGTTAATTGAGAAGCTTACCTAGCTACCATAACTTGGGATTCAGAAAGCAAGCAGGAAATTAAAGCTAAAACCCCACAACCAGTAATCAATTTCCTTCTAAATCCGTCATGACATAAAGGCATTTCTCCTCAACTTGTTTAACTGATTAATGAACTTAAAATCCCATCAAATTTCTTCCTTATTTTGGAGATTTGGGACATTGAGAATTCAAGAAACACAGCAGGTCTGGAGAATACTGAAGTTTCTATTGCCATTTTTTGCTCTCCCAATTGATTCAGAAAGAGCTGTGAGATTAACTGATAGTCCTTTCCACTGCTCGTTGGACACAACATCAAACTAATAGTGAAGGCGCCTTTGCAGCAATATTGATGGCTCAAAATGTAACCATTTACGAGGACCCAGCCTGTGGTCTCACCCGCCAGCCTGTGGAGGGAGCAAGGCTTCAAAGCGTAACGGATTGGGAGTCAAAAATTGCCAGTGCCAGACCGTATCCATTTGGCTGGTTCGACCGGTTGAAAAGGGAAACCGGCCATAAAACTTTCTCCAATTTTATATTAGAGTACAATGAAAAATAAATAACCCATCAAAAACCATCCAAATTGGTCAAAACTGATAAAGCTTACATGGTTGAGCCAGTTAGTTACTAGAAAATTTTTTTCATAGTATTATTCAGATTTTCTAATTCTAAAATGAATAAAAAGCTGTATATTTGACTCAATCACTTAAACTGGTTGAACCGCAAACTAAAAGCTCATTTGATTCATCCACTGATTCGGGTCTAAAAATATTGTTTAGTATTATTGTACAAGGCACTATATATACACTAAACCAATGCTTGTAAATATTACAACGTAAAAGACCATGATAACATTGTTCATCTGCATGGCTTATCACATTTAGCTAATGTAATTTGAAGATGCCACTTATATTATATATGACTTTGCTGATGTTACAATGACCACGTGTGAAATCATAGATCAAGCTTATGAATAGGACTCATTACTTGAATATTAGAAGTGGTTATTTGAAAAAATATAGAGTCATTTATTGACTATTACAATTGCTGCTATATAATGCTCAAAATTATGAGCAAAAGGATCATCATTGAGAGCCTTATAAGATTTTGCATTTTGGCTATTTCCTACAATTCCAATGAAATTGGGAAATAAAAGGAAGAAATGGATAACAGCATGGCTTTTGTACTAACAATAAGTCAATTAAATCGTGTAAATGAGCACATATGCACAATTAAATATGGGAACCAGGGAAAAAAAATACAACTTTCAGACTAACCTGAAGATTTCGTCATCCTTCAGCCGTAATCTTTTGCAACAGAGAAAGTGAAACTAATACAGTCATTCTATTAAGACTAGTACTTGCATTTATAGATGCATAAAACATTCTTTGGCCAAAAATGAAATTAACAATATTCTTACTCTCTATTTAAGTGATTCTCATTCTTACCTCTTTTGCACTTTTTTCTTTCTTTTTGTCTATCTTGTTTCTGACTAAAGATATGATGTAACTTGGAGTAAAGTGCCTAGAGATGCAGCCATAATATTATTCCCATGTGGTTCACATGTCAAGGTTCCACTATGTAAATTTTTTAAAAAATAAAATAAAAAAAGAAGAAGAAGAGGTATTCACTGTATAATTTGTTTGATTAAGCTAACAATCTTAGGGAGGGGGCGGAAATATCTATTCTGATCCAAAAACTGGCAAGGCCCAATTTGATCCGTCCCAAGAAATACTGTGTATTCGTTCTGCATTTTGTTACCGAAGCAGGTCAAGGGGGGCTCTCTATGATTGCAGAGTGGATTCATGGATATGATCACAATTTTGGTGGTGGAATTTTAAATTTACCAAAAGTGCTTCACTTTTACGGGTCAATTCTGAGAACCCCTTTAGTTGTACTCTGGAGTCACTGCCCTTATGTTTCAACTAGGGATACAAACGAGTTGAACCGAATCGAGTTTCGCCTTTAATCGAGCCGAGTTTCAACATAATTTTAAAAAACTCGAACTCGAATTCGACAAGTTCAAAATGTCAAGTTCGAGCTTAAAAGATAAAAAATAATTATTTTATTTTTTAAAAATGAATAAAATAATAATTTTTCTTAATAAATAATAAAATATTAGGAATATATATGTAAATTTACTATTAAAATAAAAAAATAAAAAATATATATAATCGAGTTCGATCCGACTCGTGAGCTAACAAACTTAATATTTTTGAACTTGAGTTCGAACTCAAGTGGAGCTCAGACTCGACCCGCTTGCAATCAGCTCGCAAGCGGTGCGATTTGTTTGCAGTCCTAGTTTTATGTCAGGCTACTGACTCCATGGATGACCTTAATCAGGCGTTGGGTTGGAGATTGGGGAAGAATTTGGCAGAGAAGGGAAGAGAGGAAAGAGGTCTGGGAAAGAGAGGGAAGATTAGAGAGAGAAATTGAGAGGGAAAGAAATGAATTTCTGTTATTTCATCTGATACCTTCTTGGCCAATCGTACGCGTACAAATAAGCTGGACAACCGACTCAATGAAATTGTGTAACTAATTCTGTTACAGTGCCGCGACGTCGTTTTCATAGGTTCTAAACTATACGGCGCCGTTACACTTATTCTAGTACAATCAAACCTAATTTGCTCAAATAAATGCAAACGACAACGTTTTGGCTTCAATTGGGGAAATTATTGTGTTCCTGACAAACGACAACGTTTTGGCTTCAATTGGGTTGTGTTCCTGACATTGCCTCTCCCTTTAACAGTCTTGTCCTCAAGGCTGAAACTGTGGAAACTGAGTGTGAATGAAATCCCGATCTTCCCAAGAAGCTTCCTCGTCACCGAGCTGACACCATTTGATCAAATATTGGATAACAGTTTGCCCATTCCGCGTGATCGCTCTCCTTCGCATAATCCGTTCAGGAAACAAGGGACATTGATCATTGTCATCAGGTTCAGGCAGAGTAGCTGCAACTGGCTGCAGTGGTCATAACTTTCTTTTGAGCAGTGACACATGAAAAACAGGGTGGATACGTGCCCCTGCAGGTAACTTGAGGCGATAAGCCACTGATCCCACCTTGGCCTCGACCTGAAAAGGACCATAGAATCTGGCTGACAGCTTAAGACATTTCCTGATGGCAACTGATTGTTGCCTGTAAGGCTGCAGTTTCAAGAAAACCCAATCACCCACCTCGAACTTTCTCTCAGTGCGCTTCTGGTCAGTAAAATGCTTCATTCGCTGTTGTGCCTTCTCAAGGTGGTCTTTGATGCTACTGGAAATCCTCAACCTCTCCTGGAGAATGTGAGAAGCTGCTGGTATGATGGTTTCCAGGTGAGGTCCTAAAGGTAAAGGAGGAGGTTTGTACCCATACAGTGCTTCGAAAGGAGTAAGTTGCAGGCTAGAATGATAGGAAGAATTGTACCACCATTCTGCTAAGGGAAGCCACCTGCTCCAATTGTGAGGAAACTCCCCAGTCATACATTTGAGGTAAGTTTCCTCACACTGATTAAGCCTTTCGCTCTGACCATCTGATTAGGGATGGTAAGCAGAGCTGTACCTTAGTTCCGTGCCTGCCAATCTGAAAAGCTCTTGCCAGAAAGCACTAGTAAAAATCTTATCCCTGTCAGTCACGAGGGACTCTGGAATGCCATGCAATCTAAAAATGTTGTCAAGGAACAGCTGAGCCACCTGTTTGGCTGTGAAAGGATGAGCCAAAGCAAGGAAATGTCCCACTTTGGTGAGCCTGTCGATGATAACCAACACTGTATTGTATCCCTGGGATTCGGGTAGACTTTCTATAAAATCCATAGTAAGATGAGTCCAGGCTAGGTGGGGTATCGGCAGAGGTTGCAGTAGACCAGAATATAGGACATGTTCAGGTTTAAACCTTTGGCAGGTATCACAAGCTTGGACGAATCTGATGACATCTCGCTTCATGTTAGGCCAGAAAAATAGAGCCATCATCCTTTGCTAACACCCTCTTTGTCCAGAGTGTCCCTCAATAGCAGATGCATGGAAAGCCTGAATCAGTTTCTCTCTTAATCCATAGGCAGCGCCCACATAAAGCTTACCTCTGTATTTCAACAATCCTTGATTCCACTCATACTGTGGTTGAGCATTAGGGTCTAGTAACAATTGAGAGATAATATCCTGACATTGAGGGTCGGTCTCATAACTTCTCTGAAGCTCTTGTATCCACAAAGGGGTAACCGAGGTGATAGCTAGGCAAGACCCTTGTGGAGGAATCTCAACAGTGTTTCTGTCATACAATCTAGACAGGGCATCAGCAACCTTATTTGTTGATCCCTTCTTGTACTGGATTTCATAATCTAGGCCAAGCAGCTTAGCCAACCATTTGTGTTGCAGAGTAGTGGTCAGTTTTTGGTCTAGCAGGTACTTCAAGGACTGGTGATCTGTCCTGATAATAAAGTGATATCCCAGCAAAAAATGTCTCCATTTGGTTACTGCCATTACGAGTGCCAATAGCTCCTTCTCATAAGCTGACAACCCCAGATTCCTAGGTGACAAAGCCTTGCTGAGGAAGGCTATAGGGTGACCCTCCTGCATTAACACCGCTCCTATTCCCCCTCCACTAGCATCAGTTTGTATAATGAAAGTCTTCTGGAAATCTGGCAGTCTGAGTACAGGAGCCTTGCACATAATGTGTTTCAGTGAATCCAAGGCCTCCTGTGCTTCCTTATTCCAATGAAAGTTGTCTTTCTTAAGTAAGTATGTCAGTGGTTTGCAGATGATCCCATAGTGTCTAATGAACATCCTGTAATATCCAGTCAGTCCCAAAAATCCCCTCAACTCCTTTAAGATTTTGGGGGTAGGCCAGTTCATAATGCTGTCTATTTTCGACTGATCCATGGATACTTCATCTGTAGTTATAGTGTGGCCAAGATAATCCACCTTCTGCTGAGCAAAGGAGCATTTGGACTTCTTTGCAAATAAACTGTGCTCTCGCAGGACAGCCAATACTAACTTCAGATGTTCCAAATGCAACTCAAAGGTGGCACTGTAAATCAAGATGTCATCAAAAAATACAAGAACAAACTTTCTGAGATATGGCTGAAAAATCTGATTCATAAGGGATTGAAAGGTTGCTGGTGCATTGGTCAGCCCAAATGACATGCCCAGAAATTCATAGTGACCACAGTGAGTCTGGAAGGCAGTCTTGTAAGTGTCTTTAGGCTTAACTCTGATCTGATGATAGCCAGATGTTAGGTCTAATTTGGTCTTGTATTTGGATCCTGCTAATTCATTGATCAGTTCATCAACATTTGGGATAGGATACCTGTCCTTAACAGTCATTTCATTCAAACGCCTGTAATCCACACAAAAGCGCCATGTTCCTTCCTTTTTCTTGACCAACAATACTGGGGAGGCAAAGGGGCTATTACTGTTGATAATTATCCCATGCTGCAACATTTCCTTCACCTGCTTTTCAATTTCACCCTTCTGGGAGTGAGGATATCTATACGGCTTCATTTTGAAAGCCTGTGATCCTTGCTTTAGGGGAATCTCATGGTCTATCTCCCTGGTAGGTGGTAACTCAGTAGGGGTCTGAAACACATCATTGAAGTCTTCAATGACCTGCTGGACTTCAACAGGCACCTTAGATTCTTCTGTCAGCTGATCTTGGCTCATCCTCATAGCTAGACACATTTGCCTTTTATATTCAATGAAATTTCTCAAGTCACTCCCTCTGATTAGATCCAAATCACAGTTCTCTGCCTGCCCCCTCAGTTGCACTACTTCACCTTGATTGTGTAGGGATATAGTCAACTGATGGAAGTCGAACGTAATGGGGCTAAAGTGAGTCATCCAGTCCACTCCTAGCACCATATCCCAACCACTTAGATCCATCACCTTGAGATCAAAACAGAACTGATGCTGATTGATTCCCCAGGTCACCTTAGGACAGATGGCCTTACTGGTCACACAAGCTCCATTTCCCACTATCACAGAGAATGGTTCTACTAGTTGGTAGGGAATATCATAGGCAATCACCTTCTCACTACTGATATAACTGTCTGAACTTCCTGTATCCACTAGGATAAGCATCTCTTCCCCATCCCACTTCCCTACCAGTGTGATTGTTTTTCTCTGCATGGCCTCTGACAGAGCATGCAAAGACATTTCCATGACTTGACCTGGATTCCCTGTGGACTCATCCTGCTCCCCCACCGCATCTTCAAACTCCCCCTCTTCTTCTTCCTTAGTAACTAAAAGGTTTAGGTGGCCAGGTTTGCACTGATGCCCCTGCCCAAATTTCTCTCCACACTTGAAACAAAGTCCATTACTCCTTCTGTATTGCAACTCCTCTGCTGAAAGTCTC